CTCTCTCTCTCTCTCTCTCTCTCTCTCTCTCTCCCTCCCCACTGCTTCAAGAGACAATTTAAGAAAACTAATCTGAACAAAATAATATCAACAAAAAATAACCACCTAAAAAGGTCAACAAAAGAGCCTTGAACTGACAAAAGTGGCGACATTTTCGCCAAAGACAAAAATCTGTACAAACCAGGAACAACAACTAACAGTCACACACAACAATTCTCCAGCTTGCCCGAGTGACTTGCCCTTTCTCTCCACTCACAACATCTCGATTGTTCCGGAATTTTCATTACCTGAGAAACTGCTACTTCAAAAGAGTTGGGTTTTTTTTACCCTCTTTACATTCCATAAATAAGAATATAAAGGGCGCATGAGGCAAATTAAGAATGGCTACTTAGCAAGGAGTAAAGATGAGGGGGAGGGGGGGGGGCGTAATAATTAATTAAAAACATGGAAAGGTGACAAATGACCTTGTTCGTGAGTTTTGTTGATGAGAGAGGGATAGGGAGAGCCAGAGAGAGAGGGGGAGAGGGAGAGAGAGAGAGAGAGAGAGAGAGAGAGAGAGAGAGAGAGAGAACGAGAGTACGGGTAGACAAATAAAGGCCACACAACTTAGCACCCTAACCCACGTGGAGCACACACGTACATTCCCCTTCAAGTATTATGACGTCACAGCTCTGGGAGTGGGTGCGCGGGAAAAGTAGACCATGGCATCTGCTTCTCATTTTGAAGAGTAAAATGTCACAGGTCAAACAGTTGTTTTATACAGAAGCTCGGGCTCCTGTGCTATATGGACGTGTCATGTACTGTAATGGGAAGTTGTACTGGTTTAACGTCTTTGCAAAACTATTACCTTTGCCTGAGTTTTGTTTGAGTAAAGAGAAGCACGCTGACACAGTGATGGTCATTTAGTGCTGGCAAAAAGTAAGACAGACAGACAGACAGAAACACCAGAAAGAATGAAAGGAAGTGGGACCTACCAGTGGTGCCCTCCAACGACCTGCAGCTATTTCCTTGTCTAAGACACTTTTTCCTTCGAATGTCAAAGTATCCGATATTCGGACCAGGCCACAAAAGACAATTTGTGGAAAGTGCATTTTCCAAGGACACAACACTGGACTGAGCCGTGTCTCGAAACCCTGAACCAGCAATCTCGCTGTCACAAAGTCCGAAACTCTAACCAGTAGACTCCCGAAGCCACTGTTTTCTTTGCCTTAGCCACGGGGAAATAAAAAAAAGGGAACCTCACCACCCCCCTCCCCCCAAAGTCCTCGGAAACAAAGAAATCCGACCTTCTCTATCTTTCTCTCTCTCTCT